TCTGTAATGCGCTCTACATGGGGCTACCTCTGTACCAAGTTCGGAAGCCTCAGTTGGTTCAAAATGCAGCAGCCAGACTAGTCACCAGAACATCTAGGTCAGACCATATAACACCTGTATTAAAATCTCTTCATTGGCTGCCAATTAGCTTCCGGGCACAGTACAAAGTGTTGGTTATTATCTTTAAAGCCCTATATGGCTTGAGCCCAAGTTACTTCAAGAAACGCCTCTCCCCACATAATCTGCCCCACACTCTCAGAACATTTGGGAAGAATTTATTAGATTATTACCAAACCAGATTGAACTCTGCTTCCCAAAGATCGTTCACGGCTGCAGCCCCCAAGTTATGGAACAGCCTGCCAGAAGAGATCCGTCTTATCACTATGCTAGATGTCTTTAAGAAGGCACTCAAGACGGAGCTCTTCCAGCGGGCCTATCCATCTGATTTTCTTAGTGAACATCCATAGTATTACTTCAAAATCGATTTTCTAGGTTCTGATGATGATTGGCTATTTTATTTTATTTTATTTTATTATATTGTATTCTATTTTTATAGAATTTATTATTGATGTTTTGATTTTATTGATTTTATTGCTTGTATTTAGTACACTGTGTACATTTTATTGTGTAATCTTGCCTTGATCCATTGGGAGAGGCAGGAAATATAAATTATTATTATTATTATTATTATTATTATTAAAGTATAAATTAGTAAAAATTCATACAACGGCATATACATTTTGGGGGGAAATACACAAAAAATAAGCACAGTTATCCCTGCAGGAATGTAGAGAAAATCTCACAACTCAGTGCAAAACTGGAAAGATACAGGAAGAAGAAGAAGAAGAAGAAGAAGAAGAAGAAGAAGAAGAAGAAGTAGTTTTATTTCTAACCCTCCCGTCTGCTCAGCAACCGGTGCTGCGTACAACAAAGTTAAAACAGATAACAATTTAAAACTCCCCTACTCCCCAATCCTTAACCCTCCCCCCCTTAAAACTGAATTAAACTAGTACACAATTAAAATGGCTGTGCAGAATAAAATACAATCAGAACCCATAGAAATGAACAAGAGCAGGCGGAGGCCACAGGGATGAGTACCAAATCATCTGGGTTGAGTCGGGAGATTATTCTGGGAAGGCCTGCTGAAAGAGATCCGTCTTTACTGCCTTTTTGAAGGCAGCAAGAGTGGTAATAAGACAGATCTCATCCAGCAGGTCATTCCATAGTCTGGGGGCAGTCGCAGAAAAGGCCATCTGGGAGGTCTGCAAGGGCCTGGTCTTCATAGGCTGCAGCAGATTCCTCCCAGAGGACCGGAGTG